TTCTCTGGCCTAATGATTTCGTTTTGTCAGGACAAGATTACTGCTAGATCACACTTTTGATCAACGGTATCCATTAGCACTAATTTAAGACATCTGGAAGCATATGACCTGTGTAGAATCTGAAAGATGTGTGTATTAAACCTCAAACATAACTAGATTGACCTGCAAATCCTGGTTAACTTGGACTGCAAACATTTCATAAACACTGTGTAATTTAAAGTAATGGTTTACAAACTGCTGGTTAACAAGGTCCCATTATGTTGTAACTGCATCTGATAATAAAATGCATTTTTATTACACTAAAAAAACGAAAGTGTATTCTCAAAAAATAAAATAAAAAATTGCGAGCATAAACCCCAATTGTTTCACTTTATTATAGTATAATATTTTTTGCAGATACTTTTTTGAGGGCTCTTAAAAGCATCCTTAAAAATGAGCCATGAGCAACAACCTCATTCCAGATCTAGTACTACCACTAGGTGTTGCATCAGCCGAGCAACTGCCATTGAGTTGAATGGGAATAATAACACATAGCTTTCTCTAGATATTACATCCTTGGTTATAATAGTGAAGGGTGATTAATTACTGAAATACAACACTCATGCTGTTCTATATAATTAAGGGTGCTGTGGTAGAATTTTCCCATCAGGCACAGCAATCCTTGAGAGTCAAATATTACTGTTGTTTAAACCACAATTGAATCACTACAGCTGTGGAAAAGCTTGATATAATAGATGCACTGTAAAAGCATAATAAAATATTTCAACATTCTCTGATTTGAAAAAAAAAAATGCTTTGTGTGCCGCTTTTCATTTGAGTCACCGTCTACCACAAACATCTGTCCAGCAATGAATGACCAGCTGCTTTAATCATCTAAGAGCACTTTGATTTAAATGCTTCGTTTTCATTTCATTTCATCAGGGAGGAAATATTTCAGCAAAATCCTGCCTCATCTTTAACACCACCTTGTAATATCCATTCCTAAAATGTTGTTGCTAAGCAGATTTTTTGCTGCCTTACTTTTTGTCACTATGAGAAAAAGAAGGCACATTTTAGAAAAATGGACTCTAAAGTGGATGCAGTAGCAGTCTGTCCTTTTCTAAAGTAAGTAGTTTGCATCAAGCCACCTCTATAAAAGCAATTCAGCAATGTGCTTTACAAGATCAAAATGACAGAATGGAATTTGAAGCATCCTATTTGTTCCCCTATGAGGAACAGCTTATTCCAGTTGGTGGTTCTCTGAAGTGGACTGTCTCACCTGAAAATCAAAAGCATCTGGATGGAGAAGATGAATAAACTTTAAACAGTCTCTTTTAGCAAAACTTGCCCTATCTTTTCTGAGACAAACCTGTCAACTCATTTTGCTTATATCCAATATCGAAATGTAACATATGACATATTGCCTTATATCAAGAGTGATATTGCCATATAAATTACCTATAAGGCAATATATAATTTTCACATACATTCTCTGGGTAGAAGAAGATATAAGTTCATAACATATATAAAACTATATATGTGTCTACAATATATATTTTACTTATACAGTATATGCAACTTTATTAAAAATACAAATAGGCCTACAAATTCAAAAAATACAAATATATACAAAATATCTGTATGTTAATATATGTTTTTATAATAATACATGTCTATCTTTTATATTTACTTATATAATATCAATATATATTGATGGGTTTTAGGATGGATATACACATACATGACATGCATGTCCAAAAATGTTTTACACATAAATAAACATACATATTTGTATGGGCTAGATATACATGTTAATATATGAAATTGTTCTAATTTCTAATAGGTTTCATATATGTTTTTACTTTTATATGACAATATATGTCATATATGGAAATTTAACATATTTATATATATTACATTTGCGTATAAGATCACTTGTATGCCATAATATTTCATGAACTTAAAAAAGACCTACTGTAATAAATACCAATATACAGACTAAATGAAAAAATTATAATTTCCTATTATTTGATGTGCTGTACAAATGAAGATACAGTCAAACCAAAAATTATTCAGACACCAGATATAATTTTTGATATTTTTTTTACTAGTGGGTACAGGACACTATAGTTCATTTATGTAAGTGAGGATAGCTAAATAACGTAAACTGACATATTATACCCAAAAATTCTTCATACAGTGGACTACCAGTAAAATTTACGAAAATTTGGGACCAAAAATTATTCAGACACATTGACCTGACCACGTTTTGCTTAATTGTTATCTGACATTATCAAGATGAATTTGTTCTGACACAGTTCTTGTCATATTTTATTACCATTTTCTAAACTATAGCGAACTGTGATAATGTATGAAATGTTGAAGGTGTCTGAATAAATTTTGGTTTGACTGTAAATGATCCTCTAGCTGTTGCTTTGCTGCACTAAAATATGTAAGTATCACTTCTTTTTTGACATATAAAAATCCTAAAATTAGCTATTCCGATCATTTGTGCAAGTTCTTTCACAGTGCACAGGAATTGTGCAGTTTCAGAGGTCTAGACATTAGAGTTACACAGCAGGCACGGGCCATTAGCTAAAGTGCTTAGTCGTCAGTTGTTTCCAGGCCGCCTGGTGTTTAGGATAAGTTACACTTGTATTGATCGCCATTGTAATATTAATCACTTCCCTCTTAAGTGTGTGACAAAATTTGTACCAAAATATCTAAGCTGTGGGAGACTCCTTGCCTGAACTCTCCTTAAACCCAGAAACTTTGAGAGTGAGAGCATTTGATTTAAATTCCCTTAATATCCCGAAATGTACAGCAAACATAACAGTGTAGAGTTTTAAATCTTTAACAAGAAAACACATAGCAATGTGTTCCCTGAGCATGGGCCAGAGTCATTTCCTATCCAGATTTAAGTCAGGTGTACTGTTCACTGGCCCTAAAGGTACATGCAGTACCAAGAGGCCTGACTATCATACGACATTCTGAAATAAATAAAATATGTGCTTGGGTAAATAAACACTGGCAGGGTACCAGTGGCTCAGCATGAAATTTAACAAACCACAAGGTTTGCTTTTTTTAATCCTTGCCACTATTGTTCATAATGTGCTACCAAGGTGAGAGATAATCAAGTTTATCATTTTTATTTCTTTCATTATTTCTGAATAAATTACTTTATAAAGATGTAGGCTAATTATATAACAATGAAATGTGACAATAGCTAAATATTACAAAGATAATCAGATTCAAATAAATACAGACAGTAGGTGTATACTTATAAGTATGACCCACAGCAAAGTATCTTTACTAGACTGCTACTAATTACCATTAATTCCAGTTCAATAAGCCTTTTTGTGCAGAGGCAAAATATTCAGACTGAATAGTAGTGACATAAGCTATATGCAGACTTTCATAACCATGGCCAATTTAGTTATTTTGAAAGATAGCATACAAATGATGTATTATCCCTTTCGTGGAGAGTCGTGCTATCTTGATTTGGTTTTAAGATTAGGCAAATTAGCATTAATAGTGATTAGTGACTTATGATTTAATGTAAATTAATGTTGCACATTATTTACAATTAACAATATGTGTACTGTTATTTACAATTTCCTTATAACCTGGACCAGTTACAACTGTTGTCATTTAGTTATATGCATGCTTGTTCAACAGCACACGCCCCACTGTGCTCCCCTGCACTTGAGATAATCTGAGCCAGTGTGAGTACTTTGTAATAGCTGTAATTGCCTCTTAATTACTCTGCTTACTATCTGATGTGTTGTCAAGGACTGCTTTTATCTTATCCCAACTATATTAACTTCAAATCATATGCAATGCTACCATGTTAAGTTGTCCTTATAACCTCACACAAATGAACACTGGGGTAGGCAATGAAATATTGAGGCTCTCTGTGCTGAACATTAAATCAATAGAGATATAGCAGCATATATAGGCTATAGCTTAAGTTATTCTTTTTTTATACAAGTTCATATGGCAAAACGTGCTTTTTAGTGATCAAAGTTTGATTAAAATTAGCCATAGCTAGCCAAAATTCGTAGCCAAAGTAAGTAACCAAAACAACAGAACGCTGCTCGCCAGTTTTCCATTGCTATCAGATTTGGGCTGTGCGTAAACCAAGTAGGCCTACTGTTGTTATGCATGACTTGTAAATAACCTATATCACAAAAACTAGTGTTTTGCTTAAATAGTATTTTAGATAAGTGACGTCTAGCTAACTATACAATACTAAATCAATGAGTTCGCGAGACGAACATCGACAGATTATGCTACGAAATTACTTTTATATTTAATAATTTTACATTTTATTTATTTAGAAAAAGATGAAATTGCTTTAAAATACCCTTAAAATTCCCTTAAAGTTATGGTATAATTAACATATTGCTTATTAAATTAAACAGAATGAGAAAATATAAGCCTATAATTTTAATTTATTAGATCAAATGCATAAAAAAAAAATCAGTATTACGAACAGGCTACGTTAGGTTTCACTATATGAATGCCGTATTGCCCGATTCAGTCATTCGAAATAATTTCTGATTATGTTAAGCGACGTCGTTGAAGCACGTTAACTTTTTCGGACGAACTTAAAAGGCGCCTAATATTTTATTGTCGTTTGTGCTGCTTCTAATTTCTTTTTTGAATTCCGTTCACTGGTTACAACTGTGTTGACTGAAATCTCACTTGAGTGCTGTGTGAAAACGAAGTTGAGCACAGTCCCAATCACTGGAAAAGACGACCTTACAAAAAATATTTATAAAGACCAAACCCGCCTGTGCACAATTCCCTCATTTTACAAATGACCACCTGAAAACATAATAAGTGATACACGCCTAATTCATACTTGCATGCTTCAAGAACAGATCCATTTATCTGTATCAAACATGATTAATGAATATTGTATATATGCGATAACGGCACAAACAATGTAGGCTACCTCAGCGACGCCACACCAAACAGATAGGAGCCTAAATTTGATGGCAGAAAACATAGTTTACCTTCAGCGAGAAGGCGCATCGCGTGGACTAACGACGGGTCCAAGCTCTCCTTCTCGGCAATGAGCTCTGGCAGGTACTTGTCCTGATCCATCACTGGATTCCTCTCCTGAACACCGCGAGTGCAGGTGAGACGACCAAAGTGGTGAGAAATGGAATGGGTGTGTGGATGTTGCGTTTAAATAGACTGCGTAATATCGGGGAGGGATCGTGTGGTTTTCGCGCACAACGTGGAAGATATCAACGCAGTGTACCCATCTCCTCGAGTCTCTCATGTAAAACCTCCCACCTCAGACTCCGAATCTGTTCTCTCACTCCGCCCATCTATATCTGGATTGGTCATGGCAGAGAGCAAACTGCATGCAAATGTCAGATATTGTCTATAGGATTGAACAGGGGACATTCTGAGATCCCACTGCTGATCTGTCACCCCTGTCCATGGTTCTGAACACCTAATCTTCATTCCAAATCTATTGTTTTGTACTCTCTGACAGGTAACCTTGGATTTCCTTTGCATATTTGCTTTGGAGAAACATCAGACAACAAATGCATTGTTGTAACAGTATTATTAAGCAAGTACAATTAAATACTGAATTCAACATGAAATAATGGTATGGGTCATTCTTTATATGCTTTAAAGGAATAGTTCACCCAAATATGTGACCCTGGACCAAAAAAACAGTCTTACGTGTCAATTTTTCGAAACTGAGATTTATACATCATCTGAAAGCTGAATAAATAAGCTTTCCATTGACGTATGGCTTGTTAGGATAGGACTAATATTCTAATGATTTTTGGCAAAAAAAAAAAGAAAAATCGATAATTTTGACCTATACAATGTATTTTTGGCTATTGCTACAAACATACCCGTGCGACTTAAGACTGTTTTTGTGGTCCAGGGTCACATATATGAAAATGTTATCACCATTTAAATCACCTTCAGGCCATCCAAGATGTAGATGCTTTTTTTTCTTCACTGGAATAGATTTGGAGAAACTTTGCATTACATCACTTGCTCACCCATGGATCCTCTGCAGTAAATGGGTGCTGTCAGAATGAGTTCAAACAGCAAATAAAAACATCACAATAATCCACACGACTCCAGTCCATCAGTTAATGTCTTGTGAAGAGAAAAGCTACGTGTTTGTAAGAAACAAATCCATCATTGTGGAGATTTAACTTTAAACCATTGCTTCTGACCAAAATACGAGTCCATAATCCATAATAACATTGCCTCAGTGAAACGGCGGAAAAGTCCATCCCCTGTTTTCCTCTCACATCAAAATCCACCAACATATTTGACTTTTTTCTTGAGAAAGCAATATTTTGGGTAGCTGGAAACAACAGTGAAAATATAGTAGTAAAAATTATTTTGTTAATTGGAAAGGCGCAATAACAATTATTCAGGACAAACATAAGTTTTCTATTGCAGACAGCAGAGTTGGAAGGGAAATTTGGTAACGGCCATGAATACTAATCAGAGGATTTCCAATTTGCCTCAGTTTGCCAAGATGGATTAAGCTGTTGTGACAGACAGTGCAAACACTCGCAAACACACACACTAACACTTAGCCAAGCAGCTAAGCACATATGAGGGGGAAGGAAAGATAGCCACAGAGGAGACGGGAAGAGAAGAGAGAGAGAGAGAGAGGCAGTGAAAGGAGAAAGAGGGACAGGACCAGCTTTCCTAATTAATAACTGAATGGATTACAGTGCTGTTGGCAAACATCTGTACCCCAAGTGTCATATTTACTGTCTGCCTGTGAACTACGAACATAATTACAGAATACTGGTCCACACAGGCAGAGTGTTGCAAGATAATGCTACAAATGAAAAACCATTTGGCACAAGTATTCAAAAAGTAAAACATCAAAAAGTCTCATGTGAGTACTGTTTTATCCAGAATATTCCAAAATATAAAAAGGGGGTTATGAAAATAAAAGCATACAAAAATAGAAAGCATGCTACTGCATTAGATAAAACATTTTTATCGGTATGCAAAAATTTATATAGTGTAATATGTCACACAACAAGCCATGCAAGCTATCTATATAAAGCTGGTTTGCATTACTCTTTTCATTAAATGTTTAAACGAATTTCATCATTAAAAAAAAAAAAAAGTCCAAAAGTCCATACTATTAAAATATCGAATCACATCTTTAATTTCTGACAAGTTATACTAACTTTAGTACATTTCTAACCATCACTTTAATTTAAAATGACAAAAAAAAAAAACGTTTCAGTTCTCACTTTAGAACACCTTAATTTCCTGTGTGGCTTCCAATGCAGGTATAGCTGACAGGTTCATGTTGTATATTACGCTTTAACACTCTAGTCGGAATCAGTTTGGCAATAGGATAATCAAATGGATTTGGGGTTTCTATATTGATTTCTGAGGGTGGTGAATAGGAAGGGATTAAGGGAAAAGAAATAAGGGTTTAGGGAGGATCAACACCTATACATCACTCACCACTCAACATAATGAAATGCTTCTGAAGGGCAAAAGCTATCATTTGCTATGATATACGATTCTTTTGTATATCAACTGTATAAAAACTTTTACTGCTTCATCAAAGCTTGCAATTCATAAAAAATCTCTCACTTAAGCTAATTTGTTGCTTTTGTGTACTCATTTTTACAACATATCTGCCTGTTTGTTACACAAGTCTTTATTTCCATATTTGTTAGAGAAAACATCAGGGGATGACCATTTATGGTGATATTATGATATTTGTTCCACTGTTATCCAACACAACACCACACCATCAATCAGTTCCTTTACCATATTTGTATTCAGCCAATGTAGAAATAAATAAATGCTGCTATATTGAACTTCTGAGGCATCTGGTCAAGAAAAAAAGACTAGAGCAGCCTCTGTAGTTACACTTAACAGCATGGCATAATTTATTCCTTTGCATCTTGTATTAACTAGTAAGAATGGCTTTTTGCAGCACTCTAGTGGCCAAAAATAACACAACAGGATCAGGTAGATTAGGCCAGTACTTCTCAATTGGTTTTGTTTCAGGTCCCAGTTTTTTACATTAAATGGGTAGCAACTCACAATATGCAATTTCTTAAATCTGAATAGGAAACTGATCATTTTGGTTTTTAATTGTCGCTTAAAATTCAATGGTTTCTTGCTGTGTGCAGCCAATAATTCAAAGCACAAAACTAATTCTGGCCAGCACAAATTTGTAATTGTTTTTGTTTTCTGCTGTCACATTAACACGAAATTGGACAGTGTTTAGTTGGAAAAGTGATGCATTTTACAAATATTAACTTTCATAAACATTTGTTTTAAAAGAACATTAAAAAACATCCGTCATGAAAACTTTAGAGAAAGTCCTCAACATTCAAAATATATAACTGTTAAACAACAAATCTGTTTGTCTGGCAAAAAACTTTCAGCAGATCCAGTCATTCATTCTGGATTGATGGCACATCAAGCATTGAAGGATAATTAGACTTTTTTTTTTACAAATGCAGGGAAAATACATGATGAATTGCAAGGCTGTAACAGCACCATGTGTTAGGAACAATCAATCTTTATTACATAGTCAAAATAAGTAGAGCTAAAGTACATTGACTTTACACCTCCCTAACTATTAAAAACGAATAATGTTTAGTAGTATGCAACATTTTCAAAGTCCTGAGCTGCACTTTAATGAAGCATTTATTTATTTATTTTGGTGTATCAAAAACTTTGAGCGAATGTAATAAGCTCAGGGACAATAGCTTTGGTATTTTAGCAGAGTCTCCGATTGTGGAAATGCAATAGCCCACAGTGTGAATTATTAACCAGCACTATTGAGAGAGAAATCAGGAGAGGGGAGGAAATGGGGTAATGGGATATTAAGTTTTGCTCAATTTGCGGACTAAGGGTTCACATGGCATCTCAGGCCCTTGTGCCACATCAACCTCCTGCTTCTTCACTGGAGATTTATGTGTTTATTTATTTTTACAAGCTCTCTGCTTCACACAAAGCAATCCATTCTACGCTGACAGGTGGAGAGAGCTATTGAGACGATGCTATAAACAGCATAGGCTGGTACCGACTGTCTTAGTCTGTAGTACATTCTGTTGTACAAAATTTTGTTGCTAATGAAAATGATAGACAGAGGTCAGGAGACATAAAGTAATCTTAATGGGAGATAATGCAGTCAAACACATTCATAAAATCCTATTTTTATTAATAATAAAATGTTAGATATCATGACAATCTAACAATTCCGTTACAAACAAGTTAAATACATTTTTGGTCACAATTTACAATACTGTTCTTGCATCATCTATGAATAATCGAATAACACAGGAACAAATTAACAACACAATATTAACATTCTAACTACAAATAACTAACAAGAAACTATGATATAAACGGATTCATAATTAATGTGAAACTAATCAATAACTAATGATGGACACCTTAACATTTTAACCTACTTGATCATTTAACCACTTTATAATCAAAAATTTCAGGTCCTAGATTTCTTTGGCCAGAAGTGACGGTTAAAAAACTGTTCAAACTCCTCAATAATGGGTTTATTATAAACATGCAGCTTTTCGCTTCATAAGATGTTAATTGACGGTCTGGAATCGTGTGGATTACTTATGGATTATTGTGATGTTTTTAACAGCTGTTTGGACTCTCATTCAAATCTGTTCCGATGAAGAAACAAACAACTACATTTTGGAAAACCTGAGGTGAGTACGTTTTCAGCTAATTTTCACTTTTGGGTGAACTGTTTCTTGAACTGAACACATTCAAGCACTGTTTATTCATAAATATCAATACTTTTACAAAACCTTGTTTTCAGGACTTTCAGGTTAAAGGCTGTGGTAGTCAGAGGCCCAGTGGCCCTGGCCCCACTGGTTTGCATATAATTACAGTAGAATATACAGTAGGCCTATATCGAGCAGTAGAATGTGTGAGTGGTGGGCACACAGCTGTTCATGTTCATTAAAAGATTATGATTCATAAAGGTCAGCATTAAGGCAAAACGTGTTAAAGCCATGTTAGGACAGCGCATCTAAATTAGGCTTATGATGGTGAAGGCCAGAGCAGATCATGGCTGCCACTGCCCCTGGCCATAAGAGTCCACGCAGCCAGCAGGGTTAAATAGTGAGTCTGCAGTACCCTGACAAGCCCAAACCCTTTGTCATCAACAATAATTTCCACTGTGAGCTCCCTTATAAAAGAAAGTTTAATAAGAGCCTCTGGGCAAAAAAAAACAA